AAGGAAACATTGTGTGTGTAATTCGGTTAAGGTCTCAGGGGTATTTATGAATCCTACCTGGAGACGAAGATATTTTTTTAATATGTCTGCCTTAATTGTGACATTTAAGTTTAAGACCTTCAGGTAGACTTCATGCCACCAACAAATGAAAACACAAGGCTGGAGACAGGTCAATCCTGTAGTCCTCCTGCACGGCTGAATATTTGGCGTGAACATTCATTTTTAGTAATATAACCTTACATTATTGGCCAGATGTAGACCTCCAATAAAATCTTATATCTGACAAAGCAGCTCTGATTGGGTGTGTTACAGCGAAGACACCAAAGGTGAACTCTTTTTTTTTTTTAAAACAGGGGGAGTTTCACATTACAACACATTTATGCTTTACAATTTCAAGTCTTTCCCACAAACAGAGGTGTTTTTAGCACATCTAATTCAAAAATTGAAACTTGAACCAGACCAATCCAAATGCCTCACCCTCTGTGTCACAGAGGGGAGTAAAAAAGATTATTCATTAACACTCACAGCTACAATTATTGCACGGTCAAACATCAGTTATTCATTATGTCGACACTACAGCAATTTATCATGTGAGCTGAACAGTTATTTTCAATCTGTTGCATTATTTACACAAGGTGAGGGTCACCGAAGTTGCTTGTGAAATTTATGAGCTTATTCATTTGTATCCAGAGACTAAATTTGCCCCAGGAACAGGATGCCTTTGGTTGCTAACTACACCAAGGTTTCATATGACAAACATTTTGTACAAATCAAACTGCTTGTCCTGCTGGGAGCCACAACCAGAGTTTTGCTGGGGTTAAGGCCTTATGGTGGAAAAACTCTTAAAGTTCTTGGTTTAAGAACTAAGACAAGAAATTGGCTTAAGTTTTCGACACATTTCCTTAGATAAGTCAGAGTTTGTAACTGAGGGCAATGCTGCACTATTAGATTTAACAGCTCTATTCTACTGTGCAATATATCCTTTTTAACCACCTCAGAGTGTTTGTAGGACGAACACCCTTCCCTGTCTTGACTGGTCGTTTGAAAAAAAATCTGTAACAACATACTTTTCAAAAAACTTTTCATCGCCATTGTGGCTTCATGGAATAAAAATCTTGTAAAAAGAAAGAAAAAAAGAAAAGGAGAAGAAAGTAGCCAATAACTACTTTAAGTAATCCTTGAGAACTATTGTTGAAGACTATTTTAGAATAATCTAATTGATTAATATCTTATTAATATTTCTATCTCCAGGTCTGGCTGCTATGAGGCAAAGCGGTTGGTCATTCTGTCTCATTCTGTTTTCAGTATAATTAATAGTGTATAATGAATAATGTAATAATAAGAATATATATATAATATAATAATATAATGCATAATATAAAGTGAATACAATGGGTGAATTATAATATATTCTTCCCAACAGGATGACAAAGTTGATCATTAAAAAGTAAACAACCTGAACGTAGTAGCACTAATGAATGCATCCGGCAGGGGGCAGTATAGATGCAAAATGGACTGAGAGCATGTGCAGTTGGTCATGATTGTGAGAGTTTTTTTGTTGTTGTCATGCTTCAGTTTTTTCCAAAACTGATTAGAATCTGCTAATTCTCGCAATCCAACCTGCCTGTCAATGAACCCTTGGATGCATTTTTACTATTTCTATACAGTCTAAACAGCTATTGCGACCTTTATTTGTTTTCATACTGGTTTTAGACCTCTGTGCACCCGACTTGTTGACAGATTTATATCACGATCAGGCTTTTCAGAACTTCAGGCATCTGACTTTTTGCCATAATTTGGATTCAATTGCATCAAAGTCACTGCAGTTTTAGGAAGCTTTTATAGAGAAGAGTGATTAGTGGATGAAAAGCAGGTGAGACAGGGAACACGGGCAAATATTGTTGAGTGATGACCAGAACAGTAGGCACCCGAGGCAAGTGAAGTAACCCAGAGACACAAAGGGAAGACACAGGAAAATGATAAAAAGCCAAAATAAAAACCCAGTAAACGAAGGCAAGGGGAAAAACTGAAACTACTAAACAAATAAACAGGAACAAATATCGAAAAGTTCCCATAAGCATGGCCTCATGCGTATTCCTGCATTCGTAGCTTTGACTGGCCCTGTGTGCTTGGTTGTTTGAACCGCTGTCAGCGGCTTTGTCCTGCTCCTCGTGCCCTCTAATCCCGGCCACCGCCACCTCTGACCCCCGCATGGCACCTTACGTAAGGCGGAAAGCACACGGGAACACCCCGTGGCCTCATGGTAAGCTCATTAACAGTTACTCCAGGACACTCAGGCTGACAACAAGGACTACAAATAAACCTCAGTAGTGAAAAAGAGATTACGGCGACACGCTCAGCTGCTGGTTTTTTAACAAACTGAGATGATTTTAGCTGTCTGGGCCATGCAAATTTATATGATATTTGTTAAGCAAATAGCTTTATAACTAGGGTTCGCACACCATGTATGTATTGGTTTACTTTCAGAGATACATTGGTGTGTACTTTGGAGAAGGAAAGTACATTGCTTTGTGTTTTCCTGCTATAAAATGGAAGGACCTATGGAACAGAAAGGCCTCAGCTCACTATATGACATGTGCCACGTTGCTCTACCAACAAATCATTCTGCCACAAAAGTCATTCAGTTTTCCTGGCACTGCTTTCATGTAAAGGAAGTCATCCCTCCTGCTTTAGAAGTGAAAAGAGTAGTTAATTCTTTGACACGTCTTTCTACTGTACAACAATCGCATCGTCCTCCCCGTGAGCCTGTGAAACCATCAACAACAATCACATTATTAATCTATTTTGAGCTGCAAAGGCAGCCTCTGACCAAATCACAAATCTGGCTCATATGCCGTCCTGCCTCCTCATCGTTACCATTTGCTCTGATCTTTGTCCAACGCTAACCTTTTATTGCACTGGGCATTCAGCCTCATCTCCACCTTCTAAACCCTTCAGACTGCCATTAACAATAAACTACTTCAGATCGGCATCTCTTTCCGGCAGTGTATTTCTGACATTTCATACAGCCGTTGTTTAATGAGAAACAATAATGGATACCCATTTCTTTTATAGTTCATAACATACTTTTAACATACTTTTTGAAACGAATCGGTGTGAGATTTGGTTTTACAGGGGAAACTTATGTCACTTGTGTCAAGAGTTTATCTGGCCTAGTTTCTTATAAGAAATGATTTTGCTTGGCTACTTACAGTAAACACTGTAATAAGCCACCAGTGTCTTATATCTATAAATGAGGGAGTGTATATATTTAAGGATGCCATTTCCAGTCTAGCATTTGTCACTGGGGAGTCTGGTCTGGGCTCTCTGTGTGCTACAACATATGATGATACCTGTCTCAAGGGGTTATTGGGTGTTACAGGTCTCAGTGTTACTTTGACCAGAGGATATCAAAAGACACTCCATCAAGACCTCATGTAATTATGTCACTGATGGTCTCTTTAAGGCGTTTGATTACCTTTCTCCTAATCACTAATTTAGGTAAAATTAGGTTTGAAAAAAAAAAGAGGCAATTTTCTTTATTTTACAGATGTGTTTCAAAAGGCAGAGTCGAGTGAATGCAACGTTTAATTTATCATTGTGGGTGTGATTAGGCTTTTCATTTGAATTATCATCAGAACTACTGAGGAAAATTTAAATGACCCTGCTTGGGACTTTTCTGATTTGATTGACCTCACTCCATGAGAAAAACAATAGTAAGACAGGTCAGTAAATTGACGAAACCAAGATAAAGAATGTGCTTTTTAAAAAAATGCACGTGTTGTTTTGCCTTGTTAGTTCTTCTTGTACAATACTGAAAAAAATAGATAGATTTTTAAAAAATGTACAAACATACTGGTAAAGGAATAAAACTGAATGGAACCCCCCCCCAAAATGACAACCTTCAGTCCTACATTATTAGTCCTATTGTTTATTTTTGTTGTACCTGCTTTGTCATTTTAAGGGTCAGGGGAAAGCTGGAGCACATCCCAGTTGTTAGCTGGGGGGAGAGAAAGTGCAACACGGAAAAAGGCTCCGTGCTCACATCAGAATGACTAGTTAACCACTCATGCATGATTTTGGGCTACTGCAGGAAGCTCGACTACCCGCACCGAACCTACAAAGGCACAGGGAGGACATGCGGAAACGGATCAGAACGCCCCAAGCTGAAACTCTTAACTGGGAACCCTGATGCTTTGAGATGACTGTGCTAACCACTACAGTATCTATCTGCCTAAGCCAGTAGATAAACAGAGCAGAGATCAATGAAATGCTAAAAGTCCTTGTCGGGGTGCAAAGATTCAAAGGCAAAATGTCTTAAAGCTAATTATGTTGTCTGAGGTCTTTTACTTAATGCAGGCAGCTGACTGTCTGCTCAAGGCATGGTGAGAGGTGCTAAGGCATCAGGGGACAGCAGCCATGTGACCATGGCTGCAGGGATTGGCTCAGTGCAGATGTGACATCAGCAAGCCTCCCACACCCTCCCCTCCTCTCCTGTCTCTCCATGTCTTTCTCTGCCTCTCTCTGCCCCTCTATATCTCTGTAACGCTAGTTTCCCCCCCCCCCCCACTCCCCCACCCCTTCTCTCTCCTCTGCCTTTCCTCAGCATCTCGCCTCTCAGAGATGGCGTGCGTCGGTGCTGCTCAGGCGTCCGGGGCCTAGCGTCACAGGGAGGACGCCCCTTCCCCCGATTTTGGAGCGTATTCTTTTTGGTGTGTCTCCTCGCTGTGTCCTCCAACAATTCCGCTGCCTTTCGGCTCACCACCCCACCCCCCCCCCCCCGCCCTACCCAGCCTCCCCGCGCGGGTGTCTGGAGGTTGGGCCCTCGGGGGTGGAGGAAATCAACATAGTGCTTCGCCGGGGAGCTGTGCAGAATTAGCCATGCCCTGCCCAGGCATCTTTTGACCGGCTGGATCTTTCCATTTCCATTTGCCTGCAGACCTGGGGTGGGTCGGGGGGGGGGGGGGCCGGTGGGCAACATAGGATGAAAATCTGCAATCATGATGCAAGGTAAATGATCTGAGCACTTCTCCCCTTTCATTCCTCATGCTCTTATTGCTCTGCATCCTCATCCTGCCTTCCTGTGTCCTGCTGTCTTGCTGAGCCATTAAAGCTAGTGAAGCCGGTGATGTGATCTGTCACTGTGTGGGGACCTTCTGTGTGCACGGTGTAACAACGTGGCTGCTCTGTGCACACACGTAGGTGACATTGTGTGTGACAGGTTAGTAGAAGGTCAGTAGTAGTTATTTTTCAAGATGTGGAAGACATACAAAGAAGGACGGACAGTATATCTCTCGCAGTTGTATCCGATGACTGTGCACGTCTCTGTGTTTTTATGTGTGTTTGTGTTCAAATGATTGGTCTGTATTTAGATGTTATTCTAATGAAAGTCTGTCCAACATCCAACCAAGAGGCTGCACGCACACCTATAACTGTGCTGCTGTATGTAGCAGCTGTTGTAAAAGCTGGTAGGATGAGGGATCCTCAAGCTATCCCCAGAGCATGTGCTTTTTGTGTCACACAAGCTGAAGGATGTTGAGCAAAACTAACAGCTGAATGAGACGAGGTGGTGCAAACTATGATGGAAAAGTTTGGCCATAGAAATGATGATGCTTGAGCTATGCAAGGGCTAATAATGTCATAGAAGAGGGCTAATATTAGCAAAAGGCCTGCAGTCAGCCTGCCATGACAGTCCTTAGCTCCAGGAAAAGCAAATCTACACTCAGCACAGATGTTTTAAACTCACCACAACCGTGAGAAACTCCATATCTATTCACGTCCGCAGTATAGATATATGTAATTATATTCTGTGTTATTTGGTTAGCACAAATTATAGCATGTTGAGACTTGAGCTACTGTGTAAAACTACTCTTGTCTGGTGGCTGCACCGCCAATATCCATGACCCCAAATTGGAATTAGTGGATCTAAGAAAATGGATGGATAGATGGATTAACCAAAGAAATCAAGAAAAATCACACTGAACCTGTGCTAAATAATCTTGTGATTCATTGCTCATTTGATCTCCCTATAGCTATGGGATGTGACATCATAACTGTAAAAAGGAAATCCCATCCGAGTCCCGCACATGCGTAACTACACACAAAACCTAATTGCCATGCTAAAGAGGCTGGCAAAGACAACTTTGAGAAGAGGCCGCCAAAAGTATCAAGAGTCAAAGCAGGGCAATGTGTTGGCGTAACAAGAGCATTATTTTGTTACAAACCGATACATTTGAGAAACAACCGAACTTACCTGAGGTTTCTGAGATGGACCGGTGACCAGCTCTCACAGAGCCAGGACCACATCAGCTATTTTCTTAAAAACAAACTAAAAAAGACATGTTTTTGGTGCTTTTATGCTTTCACTTTAAAGCAAGCAGAGAGGAGAGTGAGCTGAGAGAGTGGGAGAAAAAATGCACCAACGGGATTCGAGCCCTGGCCATCTGCGCAGAGGAAGCCTCCGTGTCTGGGGTGCCAGCTTAACTATGGTTTTTAAACGTGGGTTTAAAAACTGCCAAAACAAGCTGATTAATTCTCATTTCTCATTGCTAACAGAAGCGTTTTTATCCTCAGTGTGTGAAGACCATTGCATACCAGTCCAGTATATCATTACCGCCCAGAGAACAGGAAACTCACTGTACATTTGAAAACAAAGTGCTCTGTTGGGAAAATACGTGACAAAGATGTCTTAAAGATACGATGGAGCCTAATTGATTGAGATAGAAATGAAGAAATTTTCATTCAAGATTTAAAAATGAAGTCAGTGAAGCGAAGATTGATGTTAGAGATAAAAATCTTCCTGTTGGAATTCACACTGCGGCATTTTGGATCAGTATGAGACGTTTCAAACAGCTATTTCAAAGAGGATGGCGTTAGCTCTTCGACTGACTTTTCTTCTTCGAGGCAGACAACGGTTGCAGCTCGTGCCAAATAGGGCCAGATCTTGTGAAAGAAAATACTCGCTCCTTACATAATTTGACCACAGCTGAAAGCCGGTTGAGTGGAGGGGAAGGCTAAGCAGTCAAGAAAAGTCAGAATTATACGAGCCGGTGTTGATAGATTTTCAGTGGTAATGTGTTCTTTTTATTTGCCAGCAGCTCTTCTGGTGTTTTAATGACCGGCTTTGGGAAGATGAGCCAATAAAGAATCGTAAAGAAATGTCAGAGAATAAGAGAAGTGCAGTTTGAAGGAGAAGGAAAAAAAAGGCTGTTTGAAGCATGGCTCAGAACACAACTGGTTTGCGTTTCCAGTACTGACAGCTATGTGTTTCTCGACCCTGATGGAAGTAATGGCGCAAAGAATTAGTAAGATTTACAAAGCTAACCATCACGGATAAGAAGTTGACGGCATGTGTGATGAGGTTACAAAAAGTGCAAACAACAATTTTCTATGATTAAATGCAGCAGTTGACTGTCGATGATGCCAGAGATCATGTCTTCCATGGACATCCTTTTCTTTGTAATCAGGGTAATGCCATGATGTTTTCAATCTATGTGTTGGACTGACTCATAGAAGACATGCAAGAAACCTGTTTTCTAACTAAAAGTTAGGACAACATACTCTAATAAGAATACCAGGAATCAAATTCATTTGGCGTGCTACGGTTTAAAATCAGAATCAAACTAGCCAAGGAACTCATTCTCACATTCTCCATTATGCATCTCTGTGGCTTTGAGTCAGAAGTATCAACAGAAAATGGCACACGGCATAGAATCGAACAGTCTACTGTCGGATAGGCTTTAGGATAGGATTTCAGAAAACATTTTGGGCTGTGTTTGTTTTAGACTGAGGTTCATCTCAAACTTTCTCCAGTCCACCACCCTTGAGTGTATTTGCGGTCATGTTTTCGTCCCTTGGGAGCTGGTGACAAATTGCAGCCCCAGGAGCACTGAGGGGAATTATGGTATAGATTTAAATAGCTTGTTGTAACCTAGTACGAGCAGGAGACTCCTTACTTTTGTGCGGGGCCTTGTGATCCTCGAAGGTTGTATGTTTGACTATTTTTAACCTCTGAAATCCACGTTTTTCATAATCTACCAGCTTTAGCATCAGTGAATTAAGGCTGTGTGATACAGCCATCACAAACATCTGCCTATGGATGTTACCTACATGTAACTAGAGTTGAAGAGCGACATAGCAAAGTCACAGCAGACCTTTTCTTTTACTTCTAGTTTAAAGTATTGAAAAAGGAAAATGTAATGAAAAAATGTATATCTCCCCTTGTATTAGTATGCAGGCCTTTTCTTTTTTGGGTCAGTTGAGTAAAAAAAAAAAGGTGTCCAGAGCTCCGTATCTAATGTCCCAGATATGTGAAGTTACAACAACTTTTGGTCACTTAAAAAAGGACCTCTCATCTCAGTTTGGTTCCCATGAATTATCAATCACATTATGTGGTGCAGAAAAATGGACAGCAGCAATGTAAAGAACGGCGGTTGTAGCCAGCAGTGAAGCACCAGTCAGTGCAAAGTTACGGAGTTCCTAAAAACCACTGAAAAAGATCCAAACTCAACTTTATTTACAGCTGATATCATTAATCACCATCATCTCTCTATCCCTCTGTTTAATGAGGCTCTCCTCAGGCTAACTTTAGAAAATGGGTTACAAAAACAACATCCCTGCTCAGATGCACGGCCAACCTGAAGACTACTACTTCAGTTTTAAAAGAGACACGTTTGGACTGGCCACATGGCTCAAGGTGTAAAATCGTCTCTGATGTAATTTTTCCCCCCTTAGCTGATCAGCTAGCTGCTAAAAATCTGAGGCTCCCTCGGTGGGTAGATGCTTCCTTTCAGATGTTTATATTTAACACTAGACTTCTCATAAATAGCATAGGCATTGTTAGTGTTAAAAGCTGTGCGTGATTAATTATTCACTATCATTAAAATAAAAAATTCTGCACATCTCCCAACACCATGGTCATCAGAACAAAAGTGAGTCCAATTCCGAATGGCTGTTTTGAGCACAATCAATCAGTAAGTCAGACTTAATTTAAGTAGCACTTTTCATGCAGTTTTAGAAAAAAAATGTATTTAACCAACTGCCCTCCACACACATCGCATGCACTTGGATTTGACACTGTTTAAAGTGCTGTTACGAACTTGTCACCCAGTCTACATAAAACTATACAGGCGATTTCATAAACATGCATGATGGCGGTACTGATACAGGCTAAATCCAACACTAGGTCCCGTTGTTGTGTGTTACCATCGGTTCACAGCCTGAAAGTAAGCGATTTTTAATGTCATTGGCTTTGCCTGGGCTTTTCCAGCTGTAGTTCAAAGTCTTGGTGAAAGGCCAAAGACTCATCAGAGTTCACTCATTGTCATACTATAGAGATGTCTGTGTGTTTGTTTAAGAATAATAGTGACATGCTTCTTTTTTTTTATCTTTAAGCTAGAAACTCAAACGTCATTGTTGAAAAATGAACTGCCATGCCTTTTTAAAAATGTTCAAAGCATTTCTGGTAGCATTCTGAGTCATTGATGATCTGAGTCCCTTAATTTAGCCCCGGTCTCAAATGCAGAACCGAGCAGACAGTAAATACATCTATCTTTTACTTGACGTTTAGGCAATTGTATGAGGTGCAAATATGATTGGAGGTAGATTCCTTCATGGGAAAGTCCTATTGAAGTTTTATCTAAGGCACTTTACTGAGGGAGTGGTCGCTGAGGGCTGTGGGATTGGAGATTATTGAAAGGTGAGCTGGCAGGTGAGACTTCAGTGTGGTCCATAAGTGGTATGGCTGTATGCTGATGTAGGTGTTACAGACAGGTTTACCAGATGGAATGGACCAACAGAACCAGGTAAAACAGGTGGGTATTCCACTCTTCAGCCACTTATGAGAACATAACCATTAGAGAAGGGAAGTGGCGAGTGTAACAAGGAAACATGAACTGGCAGGGTATGAGACTGATGAGATGAGAAGGTCTGGTTGAAGTGCAGGAAATCTGGACTCTGGATGTCTGTTTTATCCAACTTAAACTCAAGAACGTTATAAGGTAAAAAAACAAAACAAATTGGTCCCACTGTGAGATTCTGAGGCTCTGAACCCATAAGTCTCTTTGTCAAAGATGTTTCACTGTAAAAATATATTTCCTAAGTCAGTTATGAATTCTGTTCTGTGCTAAGAAATTATTGTTAAAACAATAATGAATATCATTCATATAATTATGTTAGCATTAAAAAAAGACATGAATGAATTTGCAAAGAAACCAAAAATTAGCATTGTGATTGTTAGCAACAAGCTAAAAAACACTGCTGTAACTGTTGTAACAGAGCAACCAGCTAAATTAAATGGATTTACATTCTTTGCATTTTCAGTTTATAGCATCATTCAGCTATTCACATTGAAAACTCTAGCCACAGAATGTCCCCATCAGCAGTCACTGTCATTCAACAAATTACCCAAGCTGTAAAGCTCTGACAGTCCATCCAACATCCTACTTTGTAAAAAGGAAAAAAAGAGATAATTTTCACTCAAAAAGAAATCTTTAAAAATCCTTTTTTTAAATAATGTCATATTTGGCTTCCTTTTCATTCTGAAATTATGATCAAATCAAACCAGTAATGACTTGATGCTATAAATTCGTAACACATCTGTCAAGTATGTAGCATTTTGCATGTCCCCCCGAACACTTTCAAGAACAAACAAGCTATGATCATTTCTGATATTTCATCTTTTACCATTACAGAAACATCAGGGCAAAATTATGCTGGAAAAACATGCTCATTAAAACACACTCAATTAAAGTGTAGAGCTTAGCCTCTTAAACAGTTAACAGCATGTTTTTTGCTTCTTAAAATGCCCAAAAAATACATAATTGCTTGTTGTTTACTGAAAAAAAATCTTTTAAGTATAAACAACCAGTTACTCGTCTTTGGTGTTTTCAGCTTTCATTCAATGTGGCAGAGTGCTCGCATACAGTTTGGCTTGAATCTCCTTAATGAAGTAGACACATTGATCAGCCCTCCTTTTGGTCTCCTCTCCATTTTATAGAGCTAACGAGGGGACACTTAGGGGGATTAGTTCAGCGCCACTTCAATTTACGTGGAAAGCTTTCCTCAGATGGCTCAGAGTTTCCTTCCAAATCGATATATTTATTTAAATAATGTCATCGGAAATGCTGTATTTCCCCTGTATCGTCTTGGAAATGTTCACCCATAGGGTTACTACATTATTAGTCTTTTACTATATTCGCTTTTAAGCGCACTTTAGTGACCTGCCAGTGGACTTTATGAAGCTTTGAATAGAGTCTTCATCGTCTTGTTCTCTGTCTCTTTTCTTTTAGGACTGAAAAACCGAACCAGGAAAGTCCTGGGCTTGCGAAAGAAAGACAAGGACACAGACACAACGTGCGTTTGCTCTGACACACAGCGAGGGAAAAGGGATTTAAACCACATACCCGGTGCAAAAAGGTTGAACAATACAGTGTTATCTTAATTGTTTGTTCTATCTCCTTCCTGTTTCCTCCAGGAGCTCACCTGACAAAGAAGGAAGTGGAAGTGGAAAGAAAGGAAGCGTATGTAAATTTGATTTATTATGAAAGGCATATTCTCTCTGTTCAACTGGGGATATCAGCGCAGCGGCATAATATGATGGTGGTGGTGGACTGCAATAGATCTATCATTTGCAATGGGGTAGTTTTTACAGCCATTTTGAAGTGAACTCTTTTTTATTACCACATGGATATCATTTATTGATGCTTTCAGCTACAGCTGGTTGCGATGACATTAGATTTGTTTGACTGCTGATTTCCATAGCAACTTTGAATCCTCTGTTGTATTCAGTTTTTATGATATTTGTTTCAATTTATATGCCAGAAAAAAGCCAATGGGGCTCCTAATGGTTTCTATGGGGAGATTGACTGGGATAGATATGTAAGTACCCACGTTCTTTGCCTTGTTTTTTTACCCGTCATCCTTTGCTTGTATGTTGTTGTAGAAGCTGTGGTTCTGGCATGAAATGCTCACAGTCCTACTGTCAGGTTTAAAACCAGTGAGTAGATGGTGAGAATAGAGAGATAGCAGTTTGTGTGAGTCAGCAGGAGCCTGAGCCAGGACGTTAAACATCTCAAGCAAGACGTCTGCGAAACCTAATCTACTCTTTGCACTGCTGAAGAGTTTTGTGGTGCTTCTGTGACAGTGTATGGAGGCTTAGAGATGGCAATTACTGTCCTCTTTTTTTTCCCCCTCCTTTTTTTTTCTTCCCCCAGGCCTCTCCCGACGTGGATGATGAGGGCTTCAGCCTCCGGCCCGGTGATGAGGACGATAATATCCTTTCAGTGAGAAGGTGAAACGGCAGTCTTGGGATTCATCCCTTGCAAAACTATTGACCTGTTTGGCTGAGTGACTCATTGGCTGGGTGCTTCTCAGCATTAAACAGGGCAAATCAATTGTCCCCGCATGTGTGTGTCCCTGCAGCAGCAGAGACGAACAGATAAATAAATAACAAAATAAGTGAACGGGCAGTCGGACAGGCCCCAGTTGATTCGGACCGGTGTCGGGCCCGTCACTAACCCACGCCTCTCATTAACCCCCTGGCGCTCAGTTAGGTGATATTTTAAGTTATGGCTCCCACAGGTGTCGGCAGATACATGAATAAGATTGGATTCATGGAGGGCCGGCGCTGTGGGGACAGAAACTGAACCGGTCTCCGATTCCTTAATCCCTTTCTTTGCCCTTGACAACGGCCACCAGCTTCAAAAGAAAAGCACTTTTTCTCCTCCAGCGACTCGGAGGATGAGGAAGACAGCAAGAAAAAGTTCAAAATCAAGATCAAGCCGCTGGTGTCGGACAGCGCCGGCAGGTGCGTCCCTCCGTCCATGGACGAGCTGAAAGCCTCGGTGGGAGGCCTGGCCCTCTCTCCCTCTCTGGTGAGCACTGCCGATCCGATGGCCGGCCTTTCCGATTGTAACATCTGCTTAAGTTCCTCACGGCGTTTATCTTTCTCTCCTCAATCATCCTCCGTCTTTGTGCAGAGGAGAAGTCCGGTAAGCCTAAGCGTGCACTTTTCTTCACACCTATCACAACAACGCACGACGCACGGCATGGCATGTGCTCACGTGGTGCCGATGCATGTCAATCTCCTTTATGGATTTCCTCTTTTTTTTCTGCACGTGGCTTCTGTTTTCCCTTCTCAAAAAGAGAAATCGAAGAAAGGCACAAGCCTTTTTCTTTGCTGTTGTCGTTCGTTTACCTCAACATCTCTGGCAAAGCACGCGTGTTACGCAATGCACGGTAATCATAACACAAACAGAGCTCCACAGCCATCGATCTGGTCTCGACGGCGCTCACGTGCCAACTGACCAGCCCGTGATGGCTGATGTTCTCTGAGGTTCTCTGAGGTGTTATGGCTCATGTTGCATTGTTGGAGCTTTGGAGAGGAGAGGAAGTAAAGGGATGCAGTGTGGGTCTTTCTAGTTGGTGTCCATTTGACTGATTTGTCACTCACTCTCTGACCCAGGTCTGTTCTCTCTTCCTTTTTGCTGGTCGCAGAGACGCAGCCCGGTAAGTTTCTCACTCCACCTGCTGGCCGACAGCCTGAAAAACAGCCCTTTAGTCCCTGCCGGCTGACCCGTTCCAAACCGTGCAGTGCGGGGTCACAGGACGCGCAGCCGCATAAGAAATCCATCTTTGTCCAATGCGATTTCGAATGCAAACTTAACCGTACAAAAAAAAGTACATAAGTAAACAGATGGTGGCCTTTTATATTTTTCTGATGCAAGAGAAATTGCAGAAAGAAAGCATTATCAACATATGTATTATTTTGTAAATCATATTAGATTATATTTCTTTTATATTTGCAATAACTGTCAAGACTGAAGTCAAACTATATCATTTGAATAATTCATTTACATTTTGTTTACGTTCTTTTTCTCTTAGGGGCAGATAAAAAGACATTTGTCCTGTAAGTACATATTCAGACAGTTTCCTTTCCCTTAAATGATGATTTACTGACTATTTCTTGGTAGATTAAATGGTCGCCACGTGCGCCTTCGGTCAAGTTCAACAGTTCAGTTTTTTCTCCTCCTTCCAGGTGAGGAGATTGCCAGACCCAGACGGTCCACCCCAACACCAACTCCTGCCCCCGAGGCACCCAGGTCTGACGTTTTCTTTTGCTCAGACTCTGCTGACATCTGGAGCTGACAAATGAAACACAGACCTAAACATGCTCAGGACAAGTTCAGGAGACGTTAGAGAGCACCTCTTAAAACAGTGTTAACGCACACGTGTCTGGAGCGGTTGCTTAAACTACACATTGTGGTGGATTTTATTCAGATAACTCGGGATATCAAGATAATGTCAGGTCCGAGCAAATCCCAAAACGGACCCAGTTGTGTCTCAGAGTGAAGCTTGTGTTAACCCGATTCTTTAGTTGAAAACCTGAGAATATACCAGAGTTGACCAAAAGTACAAAAATAGCATTTATTGGACACAGTTAAGTATATCAGCGCTGGGCTCTTCAAAGACAAAAACCTCTCTCTGGGTCTCAGTCTGCAAAGAGCCCTGAGATCTGGGTGTGATGGGCATTATCTCCTTGGCTCGATCTACCTCCTCAAAGGAGGGCTGGACATAACCAAGTCCTATTGGCTAGTTACCTAAGGTCATGAATAGGCCAGATCCTAATTCATGCAGATGACATTGGAATGTGGTAACAAATGGTGTGTGTATGTATTGACCTAAAGGTGTGGATCTGATGCAACAGAGAAAGAAAATAAGAGAAAAGGAGAGTCTGTTCTATAAGGAAATAAAAACAGTCAGTAGTTTAGATAGATCATGTGATAGCATACAATGCTACAGTGAGTAATTATTGTCAAATTCATGGTTTCTGATCATTGGATGTCTTCTCTGGCAGTGACTCAACGCCCCTGAACGTCCCTTCGTTATTCGGTCTGCCGTCAGAGAACAGATATGCCCGATATGATGGTTTGTCATCCAAATTGTAGGAAGCATCGTCACATTAATGAACAGTCAGATTTACCAGCGTGATACTGATCAGCTGTTTTTTTACTGTTCATTACATGACAGTTGTTCCTGGCGACATTTGGGCCACTTCCAGACCCCAGGCAGAATCCCAGCTGAGCAGAAGCTTCCCGACGGGAGGTAGGCTACTCCATCTTCGTCACACCAGGATATACAACCATTTGTCTGTGTTTCACTGCTGAACTGCTACCCTTCTCTCTCAGCCCCGCCTCCACTTCCTCCAAAAAACATTCCATCAAGAAGTCATTATGGCTATCCGTCCGACTCGGCGGGTGAGTGTGTGTCACAAGATGTCACAAATGCACAAATGTGCAAGAGTCAATATAATAAAAACAGCTCTATCATACAGTAACATGGGAGTCTTTTTATTTGGCGCTCCTTTTGCGTGCCCTCTCAATGGGCTTTGCGTTGTCGCACAATAATATTTTTATACTGCAGGCCGATCTCAAAATAAAACCATTTAATTTCTCCCCAAAAAAGTTCCATTGTGTCCACGCTGACACTAACCAACAGGTGGGGCGAATGTCATTAGGGCCACGCAAAATTATTGCGAGTGCACGTGTGCGAGTGTCCTAAAGTGCTTGAAAAAGTGGGAGAAAAACCCCACATCCAACACTAAATAAATGGGGTTCCCTGTTAGACTCACAAGCACACCCGGAAACTAAAGGAACAAATGAGGAACTTGAGGTTAGAACAAAGTTTATTGTACATATAGTTTAACACCGTTCAATATGATATCCAAAAAGAATAAAAGCACCTTTCCAAAAAAAAAAAAACACTGTTCAAACAAAGGTTTTAGACGTTGGTGGGTGGAAGAAATAAACCAAACAAACCAAAGTTAGTAACAAAATTCAAACCAAACATTTTGTAACAAAACAACCCACAAACTATTAACTTAAACCCTAAATGACAAAGTGCAGTTTGGACAACTAAGACTGACTGTAATACAGCCAAAACGCAGCACACAACACTTCCTGACCAGCACTGCTGCACCCACCAGGCCAACCAGCAAACTTTAGGCTGATAGCTGGCCTACACGGGCTTTTATTCATTACAAATCAAGGAGGGAAACGGTGCGTTTGAGGACCCACTACAGGTAAAATGATTGCGGAGGCCCGAAAAAGCATTGCGTGAGAACGCAAAAGTATTGCATGAGAAAAAAAAACATGTTACCTGTGGGGCTCCGTACTGATATCTGTGCTCAAACTCCTTTTTGTTTTTTTGTTTTTTACAGTTGACATTCCCATTGTGCGGGCAGCTCGACGCTCCGCCCCCATCTACCTGAACGTGCTCTCCCCGGCCTCCTACCGAGGCTCCCCGGCGCCCGAGTTGGATGACGTGTTCGGCTCCGTCGACAGCCCCCGGACCAGTGAGGACACGGCCTCTCCCAGATGGGTTACCTTCGCAGAAGACAGACCCCCGCCTCCCAACGAACCCGCCCCCCCGCCCCCGCCGGACTCCCCCGCGCCAGACACGCCCTCCTCCACGCCCTCCACCCCTTGCCTCTCTCCCGGACCGCCCCCGGACGAGCCGCCGCCCTCACCACCGCCGTTCTCCCCGGGGTCCCCCCCTCCCTTCACGCCGCTGGACTCTCCCCCGTCGATCGTGCTCGGACCTCCTCCCCCAGATGAGCCGGCTCCCCCGCTTCCCCCCGATTTCTCTCCCTCCACCTCGCCCCCCTTGTGCCCGGACGAGGAGGCGATTGACGAGGAGGTGCTGCAGTTTGCGGTGTACGCCGCCTCCCCGGCGCCCTTCAGCCCGGCCCCCCCGCTGCCTGCAGAGCGAAGGTCCCCCCGGGCAGGGGTCACGTCCCCCCTAGTCCAATATGGAGTGGGGGGAAAGAGGACTCCAGAGGGTGTGTACCAGAGGGATGACTTGACTGATTTGCCTGGCTCCCCCAGAGAGCTGACGCCCAGCTTCAGGGGCACCCCCCCACCTCTTCCTCCAACCACCTACAGGTCTATCATGTCTTCCCCGGGGCCCTACTCAGGCAGCAGTGAGTGCCTTTTTGTTTTCTTCTACGTGAAAAAGAGTAGGATTCCGTCTGAACCACACCACACAGAGCCCCCTCTGGTCCAGATTCCTGGTTATTTGTGTTTGGGAAGACTTCACACTGTTCTTAAAAAAGGGGCCCTTACTTGAGATAAATAGAGAGAATCTTATCGACAAGATGGCGCCAAAAAAATTGCACTTCGTTGACTTACAAGTAGCACCGTTGGTTGGCACCGTCGCCTTACAGCAAGAACTCAGAAAGGTCCTGGGTCCCCCGGGATTTGAACCCAGGACTTTTCTGAATGGAGTTTGCATGTTCTCCCTGTGTCTGTGTGGGTTCTCTCTGTGTTCTCCGGCTTTTTCCCACAGTCCATAAACCTACATGTTAGGCTGATTGGACATTCCAAATTGTCCTTAGGAGTGAATGTGAGTGTGTGTGGTTGTGTGACTCTGTGTGGCCCTGTGATGGACTGGTGGACTGTCCAGGGTGTACCTCGCCCATTGACCACTGGGATAGGCTCCAGTTATCCCCGCGACCCCATTAGGGAATAAGTGGTAACGATAATGGATGGATAGATGACTTACAAGTAAAGTGGTCAAATGTGCACTGCATAGAAACCCAACATTCTTGTTTTTGCACCCGTTTTTCAAAGAAAAAAGAAGGGTCATGGTAAAGAGAGGCAAGAAATGCAATGTCCTCATACGAGGACGCAGGGTCTCAGGAGGTTGAGCATACAGACCTCTAGTAACCTGGCGACCAGTCCCAATGAACAGACGCGTCTGGCCACCGTTGAAAGGCTCTGTGTGAGCGGTTCGAATCTTTTGTGGCCCACACTGAACGAACGCCTCTCCCAGATGGGATCGGAGGGCAGTGTGACCCACGGAAAGTGTTGTGTGCTGCAGGCCCTTCGTCCCCGGCACGTCCCGCCACGCCCCAGTCCCGAGGCAGCCCGGTGCCCCCGCCTCCACCTCCACGCCCATCTTCGCGACCCAAGCTGCCCCCGGGGAAACCGATCTCAGATCTGGTAGGCTAACATCCTCTTTTTTGGCTCGTTCTTGGTTCTGACGCCGACGTGGAACAAATCCAACTCTGTCTGGATGTAACCCGGTTCTGTCTTGTGACACCAGAGTCGGCCGTTCAGTCCGCCCGTTTCGGGGAGCCCCCCGCCCTTCGCCCCGCTGGCCCGCGCGGAGAGCTCCTCCTCCATCTCCTCGGTGACCTCGCACAGTGCGGCATCCACGCCGACGTTGGGGAGAGACCTGAACATGCCCTCCACAGGTACGCGCCCCCCCCCCCCCCCGCGTCGGCACGCCCCTTCAGCCCCCTCCAGCCATTCATCACAGTTTCAGTCTGCCTGATGTCTGTTGGTCCTCATGGTGTCCTCGCCTCACCGTCTTGTCCCTCTCCACCATTCTCTCCTCATTGTGTCTGGGCTCGCTCAGAGGCCTCGCAGCCTCTGGTCTGGTTTGACCACGGCAGGTTTTATTTAGCTTTTGAAGGTGAGTTGCTTCAGTAGTGCCACTACTGCATGATCTGAGGTCGACTGCTCTGTTTCCGTTATTTAGTGCCTTTTTCTTCTTTTCTTTTCTTTTTTTATCTTTTTCTTTTCGTTCCCCGCTCACAAAAGTGCCCTTCCACTTTCACCCGTCCTTTGTGTTCCGTCTACACCATGAATAGCTTTTCTTTTTTCTTTTTTTTTGTGTCTGTTGAGTGTGACTCCGTAAAAAGAACGAAGAACTTCTGTGTGCAGCGGATGTCTTGAGGGCTGGTCTCGTTTCATGTGCTCTTAAGGATGCTCCAGAGGACCCAGTCCGCTGACCATGGGGCCCCAGGACACACTGCCAGTCGCGGCTGCCTTCACGGAAACCATCAATGCCTACTTCAAAGGCGCTGACCCCAGCCGGTGAGCCCGCATCACTAACCCACCCCCGCCCTGTCACTGCACGGTGACACAATCTCAGAGCTCTCGGACCTTTCTCCATTTGCTTCTCCGGTGGTGGTAACTTTGGGGCAGACTGTGAAATGGTGTAGTGGGCAAAAACAACCCCTTTGCGTTCTCTGCTTTGACGCTAAAGGGCATCTGGAGGTGTACTTTTTCTTTTTTTATTGTTGCTCAGTCTGGTCTCTCTTTCTGTGCCGCAGATGTGTGGTGAAGATCACAGGAGAGATGGTGCTATCTTTCCCTGCGGGCATAACCAGGCATTTTGCCAGCCACCCAACGCAACCCATCCTTACCTTTAGCATCAACAACTACAACCGACTGGAGCAGGTCCTCCCCAACCCCCAGCTGCTGTGCTGGTAGAGTCACCATTACCTTTTATTAGAGCAGAAAGTTGTTTTTATGGCTAAAAGTGGCATTGAATGAACTCTCTTTTTGTTTGTGCCATTTCTTGGTGGCGGCTGCGTGCCCCTGCCATCCCATAGTGATTTAACAGCAGATGGTGGAGACACCAAGGAATTCTGGGTAAATATGCCAAATCTGATGAGTCATCTGAGGAAAGTAGCCGAACAGAAGCCTCAGGCAACGTATTACAATGTGGACATGATCAAATATCAGGTATTACATTTATTTAATTTCATATTTCTATTGTATTGATGAGTTCCTGTAGCAGACTGACCTCTGTCCTACTTTTCAGGTGTCTGCAGAGGGAATTCAGTCCACTCCTCTGAACCTGGCAGTGAGTTGGCGAGGAGACGCCACCAGCACAGACCTTAGAATAGACTACAAATACAACATGGAGGCCATGGCTGCTCCAGCACCCCTCCACAATATTAATTTCGTGGTGCCTGTGGACGGAGGAATAGCCAGACCACAGACCATGATCCCATCTGCAACCTGGTAGGAAGTCCTTCCATTAAGTACTGTTAGCCAGTGAGGCCTTTGACGGTTGGCTGGGGATTGTGGGAGAAAGACCATCCGCATGGTCCTATGTCACTTACTGGCAAAATAAAACCCATTCTGTGGTCTACTCCTGGCAGTATCCAAACATGCATTGTTTTTCCAAAAGCTAAAAATTCATATCAGCCTTGAATCTGTTGCCTTTAGCTGAGCTCTACGGTTAAAGTTAGATTATGCTACTTAGGTCTAACACTACCACAGAGCCTGAATGGACAGACAAAGTAGAAACTCCATTTCAGCTTCAATGAATTAAAATTTGTCCAAATGACTAACTATGTTGGGGTGTTTTGGCTGTTTGGCTGTTTTCTCCTCTTAAATGGTAAAGACTGGATTATTCTTGATTTAATTGAATAAATTGAATAGTCTCATTATGATTTGTGGATGCATAATTTATTTTGATTGAGTTAGAAATTATGATTATATACTGTACATATAATATAGCACCTGTGAAAGAACATGAGAAGTACATAATAAATGACTTAAGCTTTTTATGGAGAATATTTTCAACATCTGTATGGTCCTTAGTTAAGTCTTATTTGATTCAAGTAACAACGCAGGACGAGTCACCAGCGTTAATAATTACCTTCCAGAGAATTGAAAACTCTGAAATACCACCCAGATGACCTACAAAACTATGTTCCTCTACTGGATACTGTATGATGATGTATCTGGTATCAACCAGATGCATGTATGACAAACACTGAACTCTATCATATATTTGGCCTTTCAAGGGGAGAATACTGAGTTGAAAAATGTAAATATGACACCATTTTTTTTGGACCGTGAGTTTCTTTAAAGACCAAAAAACAGTATCATAGTGACAAGAAAACTGGGTTTCTGAACCTCACTTTTTGTCCCTCTGCACAAACATGGACACGACCTTACAGCTTCACTAATAAGTTGCCACATAATACACGACAACGTGTCCATTGTAACATGGATTTATCTCTTTTTGTCTTGAAGGAATCCAGAGCAGCAAACAATACAATGGAAAATCCCGAGCCTGTCTCATAGGTCTGACAATGGAGGCAAGTGTTCGGTCTCGTGCTCGGAATCGTACTCTATCCCCCTCTGTGGTTGGCACCTTCTCGGGCAGACTCAAAACGTGACCTGTTTGTGTTGTGCAGGTGTAGGGGCTCTGTTGGGCCGGTTCCAGATGAAAGAGGGTCCCTGTAAACCCTCCCAGCTTTCGGTCCAGTTTACCAGCGAGGGAAGCACTCTGTCGGGGTGCGACATCCAGCTGGTTGGGACCGGCTACCGGCTATCGCTAGTGAAGAAGAGATTCGCTGCAGGTCAGTTTAAGAATCACAACCAGGTGGGGGGGTAAAACAAAAGAAATATTTGGTTATTTCTGAATGCACCCAGACAGTCAAGACTGACTTCTTCCCTTTTGCCTTGCAGGGAAATATTTGGCGGATAACTAGTGGACCAAGAAACGGTCGCTCTCGACCGTGAAGACTTTGAATCCATCCCATGTGACCAGTCAACCAGTTTTGTCGTTAGCAACCATTTGAAATAATGGTTGGGAATTGATAACAGAACGGGGATCTTGACTTAACAGCCCCGTAGACTGAACCCTGCTGAGTTTATGCAAGTAAAGAACAAACCATTAGTTTAGAAGACCTGGGACAATAAAGAGATGATACGAAGTAAGATATTGGGAAACCTCGATTCTTTGTTCTTGTCAACTGTAAAAAAAAAAAAAAGAAGAAAAAAAAATTGTGGATTTCATCCAGTAATCCAGTCCAGTATTTAATTGAGTTTATTTTGTCTAATTGGTTGTCATTGCAAATGCACTGTAAGAGATGATGTGAATAGATCATATGATACTAGAACTATCCTATACCAGGTGGAGAACAATGGAAAAAAGGGGGGTAAAAGCTTAATATACAGCTGTGTGCTGATGATTGGTTGGTAACATGGTCATATCTGATCCATACTGACGCCTTGAATTAGAATTCCACTGTGTGTGAGTGTCTTTACTGTTGTCAGAGCAGAAGGATTTATTTTCTGCTGGGACTGTTTTTAAAATGGTAACCCCCCCTTCATTGTTGCGTGCTTAAAAGGTGATGGGGCAGTTCAGAATGATCCGAGGAACTGACTGACCATTAGCACATTTGGAATCATTTTAAGGTTTCATTCCTAATTCAAGATTGGACAGTCTGAAAGAGGCTTCACCATAATTATCTGCAAGCATATTTTCACACAAAGGGGAATAATTTCTCACTCACCACTCCAAAAAATGTAATTAATCCTTGATGTTTGCCGGATTTACTCAAAGAGAGAACTGTTTTCTATCGAGTTCCTAAAATCCCGTGACACATAAAAGTAAGTTCTTTCTGACCAGAAGCGGCAAAAAAATATGTCTATACAGTTTTAACCAGATTGATGAATAATAAATAATTTCTGTATGAATTTCTGAGCAAAAAAGACAAGAAAAGTGCTTCTCTGTGTTCAGTATCAGCACAGACGCATAATGCCATACATGCCCACGCAGCCTTTAACACAACCACTGCAGATAACATTTTGCCATTAATCGAAAACGTCAGCAGGGAGCCGGTACTGGCAATGAATCAGTTAAAGGTGTTTGACCTAGTGAGGGACAAAAGCATCTCATTACTACTTCACACAAATGCAATGTTTAGACCAAACTGTAGTTCCACAAAGGTCAAATGAAATGATTTCCCTTCATGGACCAACTTTATTGTTTTCATAAAAAACAAAACAAATAACGTAAAAATGTTGTGTCTTTTTTAACACGTCGATCGGCATGTTTACATTGTGTCAAATTACAGTTCCTTTTAATTTCACTTTTTCTGGACTGCAAACAGTAATTATAGCAGTTTTTCATAAGGCATCGGACACACACTTTGCCATGCTGTGTGAGTTTGTGTAAACTTAAGGTCAGGTAGTTGCTTTTGTGAGATCAGGACCTCATTGTAAAATAGTTTCTCCAAAATTCTAAAAGCACTCACATTTGTGTAAGTCAGCCATGGCTACTGATGCTCGCTGCTATCATCGTTAATCATTTGCATACAGAATCAGACATCAGTTTAGTCCAGAAAGCAGCCAAAACGTACACTCATTTTATCCTGGATCATCACGTTGAAGTTTGAACCCGTCTTTGCTTTCTTCCCAGTTGTTTTTTTGGCTGTCTCAAAACAAATTTGGAAATTTGTATAGATTTTCCAAACACAATGAAGTTGGTCGGTGAAAAGGGAAATGATTTCTTTGGTCTTGTTTACGTTAGATACTGAGTCAAACTACTGAACTTATGTAGAAATAAGGTTTGCACATTAAATATTTCATATTTCTGGGCTTAAATGGCACTTGTGCTCCGGCTTTATCTGTAAACTTTCATAGGAAGACGTTGAGCACGTGGGAAAACAGAAGCTGCTACTTTCACTTGAATTGTCGAGAAAACTGAGGAAATGTGTGTTTCAAAGAGACTGATGTGTGTGAGTGCCATATGATGTTGATGGGGACCTTTCAGTTTCCGGGAAAAAAGGGACCTGGGTTGATAGCTGTTGGAGTTGCCTTTGATGCTGCTTTAAAACTTGGCCGATTTCTTTGGCCTTGATTCTGACAGAGGACTTGAGTTGAAACATTGGGAATATAGCAGAGTTATGAAAAAAGAAACTCTTGGCACACAGCACTATTAAAGTCTCTGCTTTATTTTTCTTCCTTTTCCACCATGTTAAATAAATGTTTTATCATTTTCCAATAGCAATATTTAAAGACTTAAGTGTAAAAAGTGTACATAAAAAGCTATGTTTGAAATATTTCTCTGGGCATATGGATGTGTCTGTGATTGTCTCTTTGTTTGTTGACGTCAGCACTCAAGATGCGTTTGGTTCTATACGTGACAGCCTAACACTCTTCATTTAGTGTTTTACATGCCGTTCCTTGTACAAAAAAAAAAATAGTGTTACTGTTGACGATATTGAATCCAAATCATTAAAACTGCATTTGTCCATCACTAGTTTCATCAACACAAGTCCGGTTTGTCTATTTTAAAAAGGCCACAGGGCGTGTGTTGTGTCGGTGTGATACGATGTGAGAGGAGGCTTTTTTCCTTCACCTTTAAGCCACCTCTCACTTTTCTCCTATTGTTGCACCTCATACTCATTGTCAGCAAACTTGGCATGCCATTGATATAGCGATGTTATTGGTGTGTTACATTGTTCTGTGTTGAACTCACGCACAAAGGGACACCCTCAGTTTTACTCATGAAACGACTTCATACTAGATTTACCATGTTTATATATGTTGAAAATCAGGTTTTACGATGTTTTAATGCGTCAATCCAGTTTGGGCACGGGTAGGAGGTTGAACTTAGTTCTTTAGAAACAAGATTAATGGGTTTTTCAGCTGAAGAAGCGCAATTCACTTTTTTTGTTAGCAATGCTCACACACCGGATGTTTCCAGTAAGTTTTCTTTTCTTTCTTTCTTTTTTACGAGTTTTTGGTTGTAAGCTTTCACTGCGTTAGGATCAGAATATGCAAACATCTCCTGTACATTTCTCATCCAAAGATTTTGAAAGTAAATATATGAAAAAAATCTATATAATGTAATATCTGTTTGACTTGGTAATAAAGAAAAGAAAATATCGGGTACTGTGACGTCTCTCTCTCTCTGTCATTTATTCAAAGATAGAAAATGTATGCTTTTGGCACAAATTTGATACATTTTTGTACAATACGGTTGTTTTGTCTGTATAGCTAGAAACCTGGTGTGAGATTAAAATCTGATCAAACTAAAAACGCCAACGATCAAATTGCCATATGTTGAGAAGTATAGGATTTTAGGAAAAAAGGCACCTACATTTCCATGAAAAAGCTGGCTGATACACGAAAAGAAAGAACATGTTACGGGAGTTATATATTTTAAGGAGATCTTATGGAGTCATTGTTTCCCCAAACTTCTATTTCCGTGGTTAGGCATGCGTGAGTTCTCAGAGTGTTTTTCAAAATGTTGTCATTGATCAGAAAACCTCCACATTCACTGCATCATCAGCCTCAAGTTCTATGTCCTATTTGTTTTCTGTCCAAGCCTCCATTTGACTCTGCGGGAGCTTTTTGGCCTTGTCCAGCTCTCACTGCCCTGGGCGCTACGGAACCTTGGGCAGAAATAAAACCAATCACCTATTGCAGAATATGGAACAGTGCTTTTAGACCTGGCCACGCGCCATAAACATGTAGGAAAAGGTCCTCTGGTCAGAT